TATTATTTTCTTTTCAAACGTTCTTATGTTTTATATGTCAACCCATCAGATATACTAAGTGACAACTAAGTTTCAAGCATATTCCTAAGGACCGGGTATACGTTGGTGATCATGGTCTTGTCAATCAGCTTTTGAATTGCTATAACAAATTACCAGAGGAAAACAAAGACTCATGGTTCCCTGGTCACGTGGCCTGAGGCCAGCCTGAGAGCACAGCTGTTGCGAAAGTGCTCAACTAAAGACTCCTGTGAAGCAAAGGCAGACAGCAGAGAAGCTAAGCACAAAATACACCTACAAAAGTGTGTCACCAGGGGCCTACTTCTTCCAACCAGGCCCCATCTCTCAATCGTACCACCAGCTAAGGACCCAGCCTTCTTCACTGAGCTCCTGAGGGACAGTCCAGACCTAAACCACAATAATGGAGCTTGACTGGGTGGGTGGGGGTGGGAACACTGGCAGTTGAGATAAGTGATGGAGAAAGCATCCTCAAAATTCAAAGGATATGAGTGAGGAGAAATGGTTTCTTGAAGTGATCAGAGAGGATCTCATCGAAGATGTGAAAATCAACCCAATCTCAAAAGGTGATCCCTGCCAGGGAATGAGGGCAGAGGGAGCTCCCAGAGGAACTTGGTATTTTAAAGATCCAAGAGTAGAGAGTGGGATTGGAGTAGAGAGAAGAGGACAAGTGGCATTAAGGGAAGTTGGAAGGGTGTCAGTGGCCAAGTGGTATAGGATTTACTAGGTCCTTGCACAAGGCTGGATCACCCCGTTAACCTAAAACCTAAAACCTGTAGGCAGTGTTGGAGGAAATATGGCAGTTAGGGAGGAGTCTGATGGTGGGTTTTCGTCTGGGGAACAGAACAATAGGATTTTGACTTGTGTAAGCTTATTCTATCTGATGGTTACATAAAGACTAGAGCCATTATCCCAGCTGAGAGGCTATGATGGACTGAATTTCAGAAGAGGTGGCGTTCTAAGAGTGGAGGCATCTTGTTTTTCTGATGCATTTGGTGTGAGGAAAGAGCTCAGCGGAAAAAGCCAAGGAGAATCCTGGGGTTTCTGGGTTAAATAAATTGCTGGATAGGATATTACTTATGGAGCCAAGAAAGTCTCTGGGAGAAAAAGATTTGTGTAAAACATTAGTTTCCTTTTGATGCTGTAATGAATTCACCACAACTCAGTGAGTTAAAATAACACATATTTATTATGTTGTAATTCTGGAGGTCATATAAGTCTACTAGAGACCTTACAAGGCTAAAATCGAGGTGTAGGAAGGTCTTTGTTCCTCTGGAGATGTTAGCAGACAGTCTGTGTCCCTGGCCTTTCTGCCTTGTAGAGCTAACCTCATTGCTGTGGCCCATCTCCTAACCTTCACTGATAGGTCAAGCGTCACACCACACCATCTGACTCTTCTCCCTCGCTTCTCACACTTGTAAAGACTGTTGGATACACTAGGCCCACTTAATTGCTTATCGATATTAATTCCCTCTGTGGACACCTCTTTTTGCTATCTACTATACCATGTTCACAGATAAAAGGAAGGTCTTGTGAGATAGACATGATTGCCTTTTGAGTTGGAGTTGCAGAGTGTTGCTCTATCCAGCATGTATGGGAAAAAATCAACATGTGTGTTTGAGGCGCATTAAATTTGAGTTGCCAGAGAGTCAACCCAACAGGAACTCATGATGACGGTCATTGTGAACAAGAGTGAGAAGTGCAAGGACAGACTCCCACTAAGAGTAGAAGCTGTCAACACAGGTGAGCGGTAGAAAGCCAGAGGGTGATGTAGTGTGGTTGAAAAAGAGAACAGTCATAGAATATCACTGCATTTAGAGCGAAAGAGGAAAAAAGCAACAGAAGGACCAGAGAAATAGGGTGAAAACCAAGTAACATGTGGCCGGGAAAGCCCAGTGAGGAGCATTAAAGAAAGACAGAAAGTGTGGCCCTGGGTTCAGTTCTGCCACACAAGTGCATCTGGACATCTGTGGATGGATTTGTCAATAAAATATTGGAAGTTTGAGTCAAGGTGTCAGTGGTGAGGGTAGCGTTGAGACCAATGAAGGTGGGCCAGTGATCATGATCATGGATGATGAAGTTCTAAGTGACATTAGCAGTATCTGTAGATGCTTTTGAAACAGTGAAGCAGGGCTAGTGAGATCCTCAGGGCATCCAGGCCCCTGCGGGCAAACCTGCTAACCTGAATTTGATACCTGTGGTAGCTTGGGTGTGATTGGCCCTCATAATCTCATAGGGAGTACACTATCAGGAGGTGTGGCTTTGTTGGAGTGGGTGTGGCCTTGTTAGAGGAAGTGTGTAACTGGGCAATGGGCTTTGAGTTTTCCTATGCTCAAGATACTGCCCAGTGTCCTGTGGCCTGCAAATCAAGATATAGCCAGCAGCCTGCCATGCTCCCCAACATGATGCTAATGGACTGAACCTCTGAAACTGTAAGCGAGCCACCCCAATTAAATATTTTCTTTATAAGAGTTGCTGTAATCATGGTGTCTCTTCACAACAATAAAAACCTGAACTAAGACAATACCCAAGGCTTACATTATGGAAAGGGAGAACTGACTCCCACAAGTTCCCTGACCTACACACACACATACACACACTCACACACACATGCACATTCACACACACACAGGAGAGAGAGAGTGTATGTGTGTGTGTGCATTTAAACTCTAAAAAGGATTTAAATAATGAGTTCATGGTTTTTGGTCACAGACTTTGAAAGAAGATGCTGGGAGAGGCAAGGTCACTGCTGTTCATTAACTTCTGGTCACAGTGTCACACAAAAAAGGGTGGAGAACCCACTGGCTCTCATTGCTCTGCCCTGTATGTCATGAATCCCAGGATAGTCTGGGATATAATGTGAGATTCTGTCTCAGAAAGCAAAACAAACCAGAAGTGTTCTGAGCCTGATTCCCCCTCCACCCTGTGGTTCTGAGTCATATAATAGGAGATAAGAAGATTTAAAGGGCCAAACCAAAAGCTTCTTGATTATATTACTTGTCAAATTAAATAAAATAAACAAGGAAAATTCAATAGTCCTGAAAACATACCCAAAGTATTTATTTCCTTAAGTCTTAGTCTTGCCCTATGCACATGATTAGTTTTGATTTATCATAGACAAAAAGCAAGCAAGAAACTTCTGGAAGACAGGACAAGCTGTGCACACACACACACACACACACACACACACACGTCAATAACTTTAGTGATGAGCAAAGGCTTCTTAGAAAGGACACATGAAGCAATAATAATAAAAATGGACAAATATGCTAAATCAAAATTTAAAACTTCAGGCACAATGCACACGCCCGTAAGTCTCAGCCACTGACAGTCTGAGGTAGCAAGCCCTCCTCTTAAAAACAAGCAAACAAAAGCATACTATTGCAGTATAGACAGGGAAGCAATTTCCAAGAATATATATTCATATGTATTTTGGAACTTGATTCTAAAATATACAGTGGACCCTATGCCTCAATGGCAAATAAAAAAGAAATTGGTTGTAAGCAAGCAGAGAACCTTAGTCTATAGTAGTTATTGGCTTCACTGACTCAAATAGTTACAATTTAGTATCATTGATAGGCTTTTTTTTTCTTTTTTAATCATAAAGGAAATGGAAAATTGGTTTAAGGAAAGTGGCAGCATGCCTTAATCACATGCTAAATTCCTGACTGAGCACCACCTAGTGGCAGAGGTTCAAATTGAAGTTTTTGGTTTTGGCTTTTTTAGACTCAATATACAAAAACGAACTTGCAAACACCATAAGAATAAGATAACAATAAACTCGAGTTTGCCTTAATAAAATAGAACCAAAGGAACAGAATTTTTACTGGAAAACTATTGAATCAACGAAAATCATAATATGTGATATTCAGCCAAATATATATGGGGTAGACTTTAAACTGATGATTCATATAATCAACGGAAGTGAACTATATGCTGGATAATCGAAATGTGCTATTGCAGTCAATATTCTTAAGAACTCAAGGATTACAAACCCACTCCAGATGATGTCATCACAATTAACATTTACCAGTAGAAACTCGTCGTTAATAACCAAACCCTTACAAATAGTGTTTATCTCACAGTGTAGTATTTTGTGAGTCCCTTCTGAAAGTCAAAGGTGTTTGGGAAAGCTACAGGGAAAGAAGTGAGTGAGAAAAGTGTTCACAGTAGGAGACAAAGCATTTACTTCCAGTAAATGATACAAAGTTTCATTTTAACATTATTGTTATGTTCCTTGTTTCATACACACCTGTGAACTCTGCTGCACCGTAAGAAAGTAGGTTTCAGGAAGCTACAGATACTACAGTGCATTCTAATTTTTCTTGTTGAAAATCATGAAAAATGTCCCTGGCTGGGGTTTTCGGGTGGAGCCTCTGATTTTCAAAGGCAGGCTGCTGCTAAACACGAGGTGTCTCTGTAATATTGCTATTATGCCTCTTTACAAAGTAGTTCCAAAGAGCCCTTGCAAATTCACAGTGCTGGGCAGTAAAGTGGTTGACAGCGTGACTGCACACACTGCGTTCAACCACTGTGGGGCGCTGCCTCCTCTGCTATGTGCTTTCACCTGCATCAGCATTTCTCTCAAAAGCTCTTGGTCAACGGCTTATTAGGTTGGCATGCAGTGGCATTGCTGTGTCATCTAAAGCAGAGTTCTAAGGCTAATTAGATTTGGGAAATGCTGAGCCACAATTCAGAGGCAAACTGTGATTCTCCGAGGTTGGTAAGTGCAGAAAGATTTAGTAGATATTCACACCCCCCTGGTGACCGCGGTCTTGACCTCCACAGTGTTCCTTTGACAAATACTGGTGAAACGTAGCCAGCCTTTAGTCTGTGTCACGGACAATTCATAGAAATCCCTTGTTATACACTGAAAAGCACTGTCCAGTCAAGGTGGCGTATGTGAGCAAAGCCGTTTTCAAGGAGGAAAGTTTGAGACGAGCCAGTCGTGTCCATTACTGACATTCTGTCCTCTCCCGCATCAGGTGCTGTCCTACCATGCCACATGTTCCAAGGCGGAAGTCGACAAGTTTAAGGTGAGGAAGAGAACGGTTGCGCTGTTAGCACTTAAACTTTGAAGTGTGGGCCACAGTTCTGGGCAGAGAGGCTTGGAGTCCTTCATTCTGGAGGGGTGGAAGGATTAAATCATTGTGTAGTCCCTGTGTGACTTTCATGAGTCAAGACGCCTTTCCATTTGTTAAGCACGCAGACATGGGGAGGGAGGCCTGAAACATAGGATGAAAACTGGGACCCCTGACTTAGACATTGGTTTTACTTCCAACTTAAGATTCATTTAAAATTTTTAGGGCTTTATTGTCTTGTTCATATATAAAACTAAATGGAGAAGCTGGGCCGCAGTGGCGCATGCCTTTAATCCTAGTGCCCAGGAGGCAGATGTATCTCTGAGTTCGAGGCCAGCCTGGTATACAGAGTCAGTTCCAGGACAGCTAGGGCTGCGCAGAGAAACCCTGTCTTGGAAAAAGAAAAGAAAGGGAAGGAAAGGCAAAGAAAAGCCTCAACGAAGAGATTGAGATCATAATGACTGACATTTACCCCATGCTTACTGTGCGCCGGTGCACTGCAGGCTCTTAGCGTGTACCCGTCCATCTCAGGCTCACAGCCCTGGGCTATGCAAACGGTTTTCCAGATGAGTTCACTGAGGAGGAGGATCCAGCCCAGAACTGGAGTTCTTCACTACACGCCTCCCTGGTGACCCCTGTCTGACTCCATGTCTGATGAGTTTATAAATGAGTCCTAGATGTCCCTTTCATCCTAGTCACCACTGTTTCCTTGGGCGCCATTCAGAATTCCATCTTGTCTCCTGGATTCCTACAAGCAAGTTTTGGCAACAGTCACAAAAATAGGGCTGGGGCACAGCTCAGTGATATAATGCTTGCTTAGCATGTTCAAGGCCCTGGGTTCAATCCCCAGGGCTTCAGGAAAAGCAAACCACAAGAATGTTGGAAAACTGATTTTTTTTCCTAGAAGAGCAGCAAGCAATGCTATGTACTAATATTACAAATATGATGTTTCTGATGGTTGCAGCAGCCTTTCCTAATAATTCTCAAAACTTTTAAGCAGAATTTAGAAATACAAACCCAAAGCTTTTTAAAGGGAGAAAAAAAATCACAGATCCAAGAATGGCACAGAGCTCTTTGATCCTGCTAGAGTCATATTAGAATTGAATCACATGAACCACTGAAGAGGACAAAGAAAGACCCTGAGTACAGGGATAGATTCCCCAGGAGGGCAAGCAATGAGCTGTTACAGTAGACAGTTGCTTAAGGAAAGTCTAACGGTGGTGCCCATATCAAAAGGAGAGACTGTGCTGTCAACAAGTAATGGCTGGTCCCCGAGCAAGGAACAAAGCAATCTAAACCACGGCATCTGTGGTTTACAGACCCTGAGGTCTATTGTTGTAGAGGCAAGCGTCTTGTGTATTCTTTTAGTTTGTTTTCTGTCTCTGTAACAAAATTCCTAGGACTGTGTAATTTTAAACAATAGAGGTTGACTTAGCTTGTGCTGTAGAGGTTGAGAAATCCAACCGCATAACTGACATCTGCTCAACATCTGGTGTGGGGTGTGTGTGTGTGTGTGTGTGTGTGTGTGTGTGTGTGTGTGTGCCTGTGTTTGTGTGTGGTGTGGTGTGAGATGTGTACCTGTGTGTGTGCATGCATGTGTGCCTGTGTGTGTATGTGTGTGTGTGGTGTGTGTGGTATGGTATGTGCCTGTGTGTGGTGTGTGTGTGTGTGTGCCTGTGTTTGTGTGTGGTGTGGTGTGAGGTGTGTACCTGTGTGTGTGTGCATGCATGTGTGCCTCTGTGTGTGTGTGTGTGTGTGTGTGTGTGTGGTGTGTGTGGTATGGTATGTGCCTGTGTATGGTGTGTGTGTGTGTGTGTGTGAGATGTGATGTGAGGTGTGTGCCTGTGTGTGGGGGGGGTGATGTGTATGCCTGTGTGTGTGCATCATGTGTGCCTGTGTGTGTGTGTGTGTGTGGTGTGTGGTGTGATGTGTATGCCTGTGTGTTTGTGGTGTGGTGTGTGCCTTTGTGTGTATGCATGCATGTGTGCCGGTGTGTGTATGGATGCATATGTGGGGTGTGTGTGTGTGTGTGTGGTGTGGTGTGATGTGTATGCCTGTGTGTGTGCATGCATGTGTGCATGTATGTGGATGCATATGTGGTATGTGTGTGTGCACACATGCACACACGCGCGTGCTCCACTTGGGTGTATGTGGTGGGCTTCCTGCTTCATCACAACATGGCAGAGAACATCATGTGGCAAGAGATAGCAGCAGTCTAGAGAGCTATTCTATAGCCTAGCCTCCCTTTCAGTAAGCCACGAATCCATTCATTCATGACCCATCCATCTCCGAAGCCACTTATCAATACTGCTGCACTGATGACAAATTGCCCACGTGTGGAATTTGGGGACACATTTAAATCATGACAATTGACCAGGATATGAACCCCATTTGACAGGGATTTTTGTTTATTTTCTTCACAATTCTATCTCTGCTGTCTCTCACAGTTTGTGGAATATCATGATACTCAGTAAATACTTGATTGATGAATGAATGAATGCAAAGAGCATCAGTATTCTAGATCTTAAGCAGTTAGTCATCAAGAAAATATTAAAGCTATATCATGAAATTATTTTAGATGCCTTTTTAAATTTCTTAAATATATATAAACTATATATTTTTCCATAAATATATTTAGAACTTATTTACCTTAATAAAATTTAGAATACATGTATCAAAACACCAGGCGTTATATGATAAATCTGTAAAAATTTTGTTTTTATCTACAAATTTGAAAAGCTAAACAATAAGGCAAAGGTTTTCCTTGCCTCAAAATCGTATTTATGGCAATACCTAGCTCCTGATAAAATGATAATATTACATGCTATTATTTCATTTTTGCTGCTATTATGATTATTTTTGTTGCCAAAGCAGGGAAGTGGCCAGAAAGAAGGCAGAAAGTGCAAAATGAACTAAATGTGACTGTAAAAGCCACTCACAGCCACCTCCCAGAGCTACAGCAGGCTGCACATTCTAGAGCTGGCTGCTCTGTGACGGCCACAAGCCTGCACTCAGGCAAAGAGAACTGCATTGTCTGAGAGCACACTGTGCTTTTGTATTATTAGCTCCCAAACGTACTGAAAATGGGAAGTATTTAAATGTGAGAACAGAGGGTTATTTCATCTTAAACTTGTCAAGATTATTAACTGAACTGATTTATTCCAGATTTTATCCCAAAAGATAATAGCTGGTATCCTATTATAATGTAATTGAGATATAGTAGATAATTTTAGCCAAATGGCTTTTTCCTTGATATATAAAGTAAATAAAACATTATCCTAATTGATAGCTGGTGTCTATTGTAGCTGCTGCAATAACATTAAAAATAGTGTGCTTAGAATAATCCTGTGTACAGTCACGTGACAGCACTTACAGAAACTCCAGACTCGATTGTGTACTACTAACTAAATAACTTAATAAATACTTTATTTTCACCAATACATACAGGCAAGCCACATCAACATCCAAATGTGTTACCGCCTATCTATATTATCTTCTGCCCCTTTGAAAATATGCATAGCTCTTTTTAAAACAGCATAGCGATTTATTTAAATCTGGAACTGGTTTCCTGGGCAAAAGGCTGGATGAGCCCCAGTACTCAATCTGCTTAGCTGGTGTGCAGTGAGATTCAGAGATGAACCCAGGGTTTAAAGGAACTACTTAATTATCTGGTGGTGGAAAACATATGGAACCCAAATATATGGGCATATGAGAGACCTCAGTAGAAGCCCAAAGTGCGTCAGTCCCGGTACAGAACTGTCCCAGGAACCAGCAAGATGTCGTTATTCACATGAGCGTATCAGCCCTTCTGAATGGAGTGTGTCCTAATGGAAGTGGAGTCCACGTGCCTCCCTGTCCATATGTGAGTTTGAGTTCAGCTTGAGAGCCGTCTCTTGGGTCTGCCTCACCCCTCGGACAGCCGTGGATCCGTGTTCTTAGCTGAGAACGTGGGTGGAGGCAAAGGCCTGACTTTGTGATGGATTCAGCACATCCCACGCTTCAGACAGCTCAGGCTCCAGAGGGTCAGGGACCAGTGGCAGGAAGCTTCACTGCAGACCGGATGAGGGATACTTTCCTCCCCGTATTACCATCAGGGCTGGGCCCGTCAGTGCAGGTGAAGATATCACCGGGGAAGGACAGGGAAAGCAAAGCCCGAGGACCCTAGTAAAAAGGGAGGACATCAGACAGATTGAAGAGTGGAGAGTGAGTCTGTGCCCTTTGTTACTCTTCATTTACAACCATTTGTCCACGTAGAGGATGTGGCCTAGAGGAGGGCTGATGTCATATAAGATAAACCTGTAGTAAATTCTTAATGGCCGTGGATGTTAGGCTGATACCTTACCCTTCCTAGTACCTCCTGGTCCATCTGGTGGATGTTTCCCCCCTTGTTAGAAGGCTGTGGAGGAGCTGTCTGTGGTTTCTTCGGACTCCCCCATTTCTCTTGGTGAGGAGAATTTGGATATGTAGTGGCGGTGGGAAAAGAGGATCAGACTTTGTCTCGATTTTGTTTCTGTTGCTATGATAAAGGCCACTTAAGGGAGAATGGGTTTATCTTAGCCTCAGTTCCAGGCCATAGTCCATCATCCCTGCAGGGAAGTCACTGTGCCAGGCCATAGTCCATCATCACTGCAGGGAAGTCACTGTGCCAGGGCCTGGGGGCAGCCGGTCACAGCCACAGACAGGAGGGGAGAGAAAATGAGGGCATGTGTGCCAGAGAACGAGTACATGCATGCCACAGCCACAGACAAGTGGGACACACACACACACATACACAGAGAGACAGACAGACAGACAGACAGACAGGAGTGATGAGAAAATGAGGGCATGTGTGCCAGAGAACGAGTACATGCATGCCACAGCCACAGACAAGTGGGACACACACACACACACACACACACACACACACACACAGAGAATGAGTGAGTGCTCGCACGCTTGTACTCAGCCTACTTGCT